ACCACTGTGTACAAGGAACTTGTGAATATGCATGACAGCACAATTCACACCTCCGTAAAGCACCCAGTGTATTTTAAATTCCGGACAGACTATGCATCATAATAACCTCATGAGAGATTACTAATCATTACTGGAGAAATAGAAACGTATAAATTCTGTCCAAAGCTGTGTTAAGGGAAACAAGAGTTGTCACTGTTACAGTGAAGTTTTATTCCTGCTTTAAAAAAAAAAAATCATAGAATGTTTAGAAATGTAATTTCTTCTGTGCAATCGAAGTAATATATCTAAACTTTGAAGAAGGTACAGCAGAATAAAAGTTACTATTTTTTGTAAACAAAAAATAATAGAATGCAACAGATGCTGAAGAGGACTAAGAAGTAAAACTTTCTCTAAAAGCTTGGCACCCTCCCCTCCTATTCCTAGAAACATGTGTCTAGGTAGGGGTGGGGGTCAGAGTAGGAGGGCAGCCCCGGGGCAGTATACAGTGAGCTGCAAGTCAAACCTCTCATCTCATGGGGTGGGGTAGATCCATTTAATAAATAGTTCACAGGCTTTTGCTTTCATCCATCTTATTCTGTGGGTTTAATTTTCCAGTATTAATTTGACCAAGGTTAGCGTTCACATCCTGTTTTAAAACAGTTGAATCTTTATGCTATTTGTGAAATAATGGGGTAGAGGGAAGAACTATCTTAAATAGTCTACTCACTTACTACCAAAACTGCATATGTTCATTAGGTCTGCTTAGCCTCCTGAAACCCCATAACATGTTCTACTATGTGGTTCTCTCCATCACAACTAATTCTTCCCGCACTACAGTCTTACCAGGCAGAAGCATTCACACTGCGCTCAAACTTCTGAACTTAATGTAAAAAATTGGCACAATGCATGGAGTCTTTTCTGTGTATATTCTTTTACCTTTCTTCAAGTACAGTTTCTGAGGACAAATGACACTAATTTTTAGGTCAATTTTCTTATTAAAAAGGTAGTAATGATTTAAAATCAAACACTTGGAAACAGTCTCTGAAAATTCGTAATTGCATTTAGCTTGATTTAAAGTTCCTCGTTTGTGTTTAATATACAGAACTAAATGAAACCTGAACTTCCAAATAGCAAGTACATGAAATAAAATCTTACTAGGTGACCTACCTATAGCCAAAACCAACCAACCAATCTAATTATAGTAACTTTTTGCTTTAAAAAAAAATAGGACATGGTGTTAAGAAAAAGGCTGGAGAGGAACTTAAATATAATTTGGGAACAAACACTTCAGTCAGTATGGAAAGTCAGGCAGAGGCATTTCATTTTCAAATGAGTTTTTTGCACTTAAATAGCACCTCATGCAGTCAAAGTGCTTTACAATTATTATTAGCCATTCATTAATGTAAATAAACATGGTTTACAATCTATCAACAAGTCTTAAGCAATTTGAGTCAACCAAATACTCAAGAGAATCTATTCAGTAGCAAATTATTGGACTAGCACACAGAATTAAGAAAAAAACTAACATCACATACAAGAAGTCACTTACTGATCTTAATGCCTGATATGAAGGAATTACTGAGAAAGAAGAGTGTTTGCTGAGGAATAAGTAAGCCAGAAGAGTAGCAATCAACATGGAAACTGCCCCAAAAGTAAGACTACCTATGACTTGTAAGTATATGAAAAATAAATCTCTGAGTTGTGGAAGGCAATTGAAACTATAAATGTCAGCTGTATTGCTAGAATTTGATCTTCAGTTACTGTGATATAAAAAAATATGGAAAATTGCTGCACTGCCTGATTTTTTTTTTCTGTAATTCCCAAGTAACTCAACCAATGCATTCACTTCTGCCAGCAAACAAGATAGTGGGAAATAATGAAATTTTGTGTTTAATGTTTTAAAAATAGTTTCCAAATCTTTGGACAAATTTAATTTCCTACAAAAGAATGTGAAAACTCATTTCTCCTTTTAAATACTTTGACGTGGTGCCTTAGGTGAGACCTGATGAGTACCTCTGCCACCGTCGTCATCTTTGCAAAAAGTGCACTTGCCAACCATTTTATATAGTAAATATGCAAGTTACTTGAAGTGCATTTGGAAAACAATCAAAAATACAGATTAATACATCATAAAAAGATTAATTCCCTTTAAACAAAGACATTCTTATAAAGCATGATGACACAGAGGCACAATAAAGAATATAAACTGTATCAATTATTGGCAGAAAATCTAATTCATTACAAAGCCTACACCATTGAAGAAAGGACATTTTCATACAAAGAAAAGTACTACACTAGTATACAACACTTTTAATTGGGCATTTAGAAAATTTTTGGCACGCTAAAAGGAACTGAAAGGACTACAAAATAAAGGACCAAGAAACTAAAACATAGATACAGGAGAGAAAGTCCTCAACTGAGAAACAACTAAATATTAACATAAAATAGAGACAAAAAATTAGCTGGCTGAATTTCCTGAAATGTTATATGTAACAGAAGTATGTTTTGAATGCAGGGTGTGTTTATTCTGATGGCAAGACCGTCTACCTTGCTGTGGCTGGCTGGACATGGCCGGGGTAAGACCTTCTCGTGCTGGTGGCTTGTCTCTGCCTGGCCAGAAATGACTGCCCTGACCCTGTACTGGCAAGTCTGTCTTCAGCCGCCTTTTTATGTAGATTCATTCCCTAAATAACAGAAAAAAAAGTCACCAGTGAAAAAGTAGTGGAACATACTCTTACAAAAGAAAATTTCATCATGCAGCATTCATTACATTGCATCATAAGACACAACTGGGAATTTGCTCATTATAGGTTAAAATCTCTTAAGAGACATTTTAGTTTCAACAATTAGGTACAAATCTTCATTTGAAGAAATTAAGGCTTAATTTTCTGAATTTCCAACAATCAAAACAACAGGTAATGGAGACAGAATTTTGGAATACATGATTCATAAGCAATCACACATACTTCCCTTCAAATTAAATATACAAAGTGATTTTCCAACAACGAAAGTGCACTGACTCGGTAGCACCTGATTCACACCAGGCTGTGGAAATCTCAGGGCTTATTGAGAAGGGAAAACACAAATGCACTTGCTTCACAAGGTGGAAAGCCACACTAGGTGTCATACGTACCAACAGGCTGTTTTTCTTCACTTCAGGCAGACTTGTATTCTCAAACTAAGGAAAGTTCCTGACAGCCCACAACAGAGGGCCCACCTGAGAGCAGGGGTTTTCTTGAAGATGGGAGTAGATGGCCTGCAAGCTCAGCAGGCAGAAGAGCAATTGCTGGGCCTGGAGCACCTTCCCACGAGGGAGGACAGCTCTCGGGGCATGCTCCCTACACATGGGGGAATAGCAGCAGCGACAAGTCTGTGAGTGAGTCAGGAAAGTGGTGCCGCATTCTGGCCAGAGAAGAAGCATCATCACCAGTTTAACCTCACCAGTGATGTAGAAATAGGAGTAAACTGATGGGAGGACGTGGAAGCCGGCAACAAGGGAAAAAGGAAGGAATGGGGCAACTGGGAGCCAGGAGAGTCAGGTAGATCAGCCAAGCCAAGTGAAAAGACACTTGTTGGCAAATACACCAAGAATAAACATGAGTCCCTTTGACTAATTTTACAATATAATCACTAAACTAATTACTTTCTCTTGTCAGTTTAGGGACCCTTGAAGTGGCGGAGCCTGCTCAGAAGTCTCCCACACACTAAAGCCTCAGTGTGCTTTGGTAGTTGCCTTTTCCTCACTTTAAGATCATTCTTCTCATGATATTTTATTCTTCCTTTAAGCTCTGAGTAGATATAATTCAGGATACTTGAAGCTCCATGGGCCTAAAATTGTGAGGCTATGGACCCCCTCTCCCTAAACATCTAATTCAGAGCCTGGGGGAAATACTTCGGGTACAAGGGCTCTCCTTGAATATGTTAAAAAAAAGTCTACTCTTGCCTTCATTTTAAGTAACATCTTCCATGGGGCTACTGTTACAGTTAAGGGGGGCACGACATTGAGACAATGGTTTATAAACTAGATGCAGCAGAAGATCTAGGTAACTGTTAAGTCAGTTGGTAGTGATTTTCCACCACCGGATTTCTCCCCAATTCAAGTAACAGTATGCTTAATGGCCTTGACTCACCATCAAGATTTAGTAATGGGTTAACAGTTTCAGAAAGAGAATAGATGCTTTCCCCTCCAGCGATAATACAGTGAACATTGTATGCCCACTTAATGACCACTGTAGGGAAGGATGATTAGAAAGTAAATTATATTTTTGTCTACTTTTTTTTACTGAATGATCATGTAATAAAGTCAGAAGATTTTATGTAAACTACAGGAACAGTTATTAACAGTGTAAGTTTTAATTGTATTAGTACTTCTATCTGCCTGGATATTTAGTATTAGGCCATTTCTTACCCCAATAATTCATTTTATTCTCTAGGAATGGTTTGCCTTAGCAGCCTTCTGGTACTTTCTCCGATTTCTAGGCTCACATATATACAGCATACCAACCTATCTTAGAGAATATTATTGGGAGATATTAGAAAACAGGAAAATACTAAAGGACATCATGTAATTGCCAAAACTCATATACTTGCCAGTTTTTCAAATAAACTCATGTCCCTTCTCTATCATTTTAAGTGCAATCCAAGTGCTATCTGCAAAGCATACTTGTAAATAATCCAAGTAAATTTCAAGATAACATAGTATGTGTGAATTAGATTGACAAAAGGCTGTTTAAAAACAAAATAATGAGTATGTACTTCCCAAAAACAATCAGTGATTTAAAAGAGATGGATGTCATCACATTTGTGCTGTCCTTCACTTTATAAAAAGGAAGCTAAGTGTTAATACTTTCATGATTTTGGGGAAAAAGGGAGGGGTAAAATTAGCTATGTCAGTAGTAAATTATTTTATGTAATTTAGGCTTCTGAGTAAATGAACTGCAAAACTTTAGAACAATAAAATTATTGTGCTTAAACTGGACAATAAAACATTTTCAAAATTCAGTAAAAGGAACATACACCAATTATTATTTAAATATGCTTTATAGAAAGTAAAAAACTAGATGATAGATACATTGAGAATAGCCTTCCTCACATAAAAACTTCATGGTATAAAATATTTGAATCATTAGAGTTACAAAGAATAAACTCTGAAACCGCTTTCTAAATGTAAGGAAACCGAGTTGTAAAACCATTGACCTCGGCAGCCATTTTGACAGCTGGGATGGTAGGAAAAAGATTATCACTACTGAATGGAAAACCCTTTTAATTTGTAAAAAGGGAAGAATAGAAAACATGTTAAAATTATTTTCAAGGATTCTGATACTCCATTTTCTTGGTTCAGGACATGCCTTCATCCAACTATGGAGTACCGCAGTGGCTTCACTGCTAAGTACAGTCCTACATCAATTCAACAGCCACCTCTTGGCAAAGACTCCCTTCAGAATAAATGGATAATAAGTTAAAATATTCTTCCATAGTTTAGTGGATAGACAATAAAAAGCATTTTTTCCTAATGCTGTTATTTTGCCTTTAGTGAAAAGCAAGATACCAAACAAGCACTTTCTGACTTTAGGATCAGAGCATTTTCATCCGTGGGGCTGTAAACTAGCTAGGTGTGCACCAGCTGGGGGGTGGGTGTTTTCTCAGATAAATCGCAGGTTCTGGTGGGGATAATTCCAACATTCCTGAAGTCTTGAGATCTGGACAGTTGAAGATTAAACACCGAGTTAAAGTAATTTTTAAAATTTAGATTTTTGTTTCAAGACAATTCTTACATTAGGAAATGACTTTCAGGTTTTTAGCATGGTGTTATTTTCAAAAGATGAATGCCTGTCCAAGTGCAAGAGACACTTAATATTTCATATCATTAGTTACAAAACTGCTTCTGAAAAGGAGCAGTGAGTAAAGTAGCTTGTAAATGAAATGCACCTATTCTTCAGCCTAACTCATCTTCCTCACTTGACTATCACCTACTGCTGACCAATTTCCACAGCACAGATTTTCACACCTTTGTGAAAACTAATGAAATAGATAGTCTTAGGTTTCTGACTGGACAACATTCAGTTTAATTTTGTGCAACTGAGCTTTTCATTATATGAACAAAACAATTAAACCTCAACAAAATTACAGATGACAATATTATCCTTAATATAATTTAGCCTTCTTGTTAAGCCAGTTTTACCAGACTAGGGCTATCAAGTAGAAATAATTCAATCTTGATTAATTTTGGAACTCGAGTCCTTCATTTAGGGTCTTTTTTCTCTTGGTTATTATCAAGTAATTAGACAAATGATAGAAAGATATGATTGAGTTGTGGCAAGTTCTTTTAAGATATTTACAATTGTGGTATTTATTCTCTTCTGAGATGCGATAAACTACAATATCTGGTTTTCCCCATTACAAACTTCTTAAATATACAGCGTGAAACATAAATGTTATACTTGAATATTCTTTAGTTACTTACATTATATTTTCTTTCTCTGGTGAGAAGGAAAGCAGAAAATAAGCTTCTTGTTTGTAAGAATCTGGATGCCAGGGTAGCAGCTTATCCCAGCCTAAGGACGCTAACACCAAGACCAGGACAAGCTGCACCTTTCTGGAGAACTGTGTCTCCAGGAAACCACTGTGTACAAGGAACTTGTGAATATGCATGACAGCACAATTCACACCTCCGTAAAGCACCCAGTGTATTTTAAATTCCGGACAGACTATGCATCATAATAACCTCATGAGAGATTACTAATCATTACTGGAGAAATAGAAACGTATAAATTCTGTCCAAAGCTGTGTTAAGGGAAACAAGAGTTGTCACTGTTACAGTGAAGTTTTATTCCTGCTTTAAAAAAAAAAAATCATAGAATGTTTAGAAATGTAATTTCTTCTGTGCAATCGAAGTAATATATCTAAACTTTGAAGAAGGTACAGCAGAATAAAAGTTACTATTTTTTGTAAACAAAAAATAATAGAATGCAACAGATGCTGAAGAGGACTAAGAAGTAAAACTTTCTCTAAAAGCTTGGCACCCTCCCCTCCTATTCCTAGAAACATGTGTCTAGGTAGGGGTGGGGGTCAGAGTAGGAGGGCAGCCCCGGGGCAGTATACAGTGAGCTGCAAGTCAAACCTCTCATCTCATGGGGTGGGGTAGATCCATTTAATAAATAGTTCACAGGCTTTTGCTTTCATCCATCTTATTCTGTGGGTTTAATTTTCCAGTATTAATTTGACCAAGGTTAGCGTTCACATCCTGTTTTAAAACAGTTGAATCTTTATGCTATTTGTGAAATAATGGGGTAGAGGGAAGAACTATCTTAAATAGTCTACTCACTTACTACCAAAACTGCATATGTTCATTAGGTCTGCTTAGCCTCCTGAAACCCCATAACATGTTCTACTATGTGGTTCTCTCCATCACAACTAATTCTTCCCGCACTACAGTCTTACCAGGCAGAAGCATTCACACTGCGCTCAAACTTCTGAACTTAATGTAAAAAATTGGCACAATGCATGGAGTCTTTTCTGTGTATATTCTTTTACCTTTCTTCAAGTACAGTTTCTGAGGACAAATGACACTAATTTTTAGGTCAATTTTCTTATTAAAAAGGTAGTAATGATTTAAAATCAAACACTTGGAAACAGTCTCTGAAAATTCGTAATTGCATTTAGCTTGATTTAAAGTTCCTCGTTTGTGTTTAATATACAGAACTAAATGAAACCTGAACTTCCAAATAGCAAGTACATGAAATAAAATCTTACTAGGTGACCTACCTATAGCCAAAACCAACCAACCAATCTAATTATAGTAACTTTTTGCTTTAAAAAAAAATAGGACATGGTGTTAAGAAAAAGGCTGGAGAGGAACTTAAATATAATTTGGGAACAAACACTTCAGTCAGTATGGAAAGTCAGGCAGAGGCATTTCATTTTCAAATGAGTTTTTTGCACTTAAATAGCACCTCATGCAGTCAAAGTGCTTTACAATTATTATTAGCCATTCATTAATGTAAATAAACATGGTTTACAATCTATCAACAAGTCTTAAGCAGTTTGAGTCAACCAAATACTCAAGAGAATCTATTCAGTAGCAAATTATTGGACTAGCACACAGAATTAAGAAAAAAACTAACATCACATACAAGAAGTCACTTACTGATCTTAATGCCTGATATGAAGGAATTACTGAGAAAGAAGAGTGTTTGCTGAGGAATAAGTAAGCCAGAAGAGTAGCAATCAACATGGAAACTGCCCCAAAAGTAAGACTACCTATGACTTGTAAGTATATGAAAAATAAATCTCTGAGTTGTGGAAGGCAATTGAAACTATAAATGTCAGCTGTATTGCTAGAATTTGATCTTCAGTTACTGTGATATAAAAAAATATGGAAAATTGCTGCACTGCCTGATTTTTTTTTTCTGTAATTCCCAAGTAACTCAACCAATGCATTCACTTCTGCCAGCAAACAAGATAGTGGGAAATAATGAAATTTTGTGTTTAATGTTTTAAAAATAGTTTCCAAATCTTTGGACAAATTTAATTTCCTACAAAAGAATGTGAAAACTCATTTCTCCTTTTAAATACTTTGACGTGGTGCCTTAGGTGAGACCTGATGAGTACCTCTGCCACCGTCGTCATCTTTGCAAAAAGTGCACTTGCCAACCATTTTATATAGTAAATATGCAAGTTACTTGAAGTGCATTTGGAAAACAATCAAAAATACAGATTAATACATCATAAAAAGATTAATTCCCTTTAAACAAAGACATTCTTATAAAGCATGATGACACAGAGGCACAATAAAGAATATAAACTGTATCAATTATTGGCAGAAAATCTAATTCATTACAAAGCCTACACCATTGAAGAAAGGACATTTTCATACAAAGAAAAGTACTACACTAGTATACAACACTTTTAATTGGGCATTTAGAAAATTTTTGGCACGCTAAAAGGAACTGAAAGGACTACAAAATAAAGGACCAAGAAACTAAAACATAGATACAGGAGAGAAAGTCCTCAACTGAGAAACAACTAAATATTAACATAAAATAGAGACAAAAAATTAGCTGGCTGAATTTCCTGAAATGTTATATGTAACAGAAGTATGTTTTGAATGCAGGGTGTGTTTATTCTGATGGCAAGACCGTCTACCTTGCTGTGGCTGGCTGGACATGGCCGGGGTAAGACCTTCTCGTGCTGGTGGCTTGTCTCTGCCTGGCCAGAAATGACTGCCCTGACCCTGTACTGGCAAGTCTGTCTTCAGCCGCCTTTTTATGTAGATTCATTCCCTAAATAACAGAAAAAAAAGTCACCAGTGAAAAAGTAGTGGAACATACTCTTACAAAAGAAAATTTCATCATGCAGCATTCATTACATTGCATCATAAGACACAACTGGGAATTTGCTCATTATAGGTTAAAATCTCTTAAGAGACATTTTAGTTTCAACAATTAGGTACAAATCTTCATTTGAAGAAATTAAGGCTTAATTTTCTGAATTTCCAACAATCAAAACAACAGGTAATGGAGACAGAATTTTGGAATACATGATTCATAAGCAATCACACATACTTCCCTTCAAATTAAATATACAAAGTGATTTTCCAACAACGAAAGTGCACTGACTCGGTAGCATCTGATTCACACCAGGCTGTGGAAATCTCAGGGCTTATTGAGAAGGGAAAACACAAATGCACTTGCTTCACAAGGTGGAAAGCCACACTAGGTGTCATACGTACCAACAGGCTGTTTTTCTTCACTTCAGGCAGACTTGTATTCTCAAACTAAGGAAAGTTCCTGACAGCCCACAACAGAGGGCCCACCTGAGAGCAGGGGTTTTCTTGAAGATGGGAGTAGATGGCCTGCAAGCTCAGCAGGCAGAAGAGCAATTGCTGGGCCTGGAGCACCTTCCCACGAGGGAGGACAGCTCTCGGGGCATGCTCCCTACACATGGGGGAATAGCAGCAGCGACAAGTCTGTGAGTGAGTCAGGAAAGTGGTGCCGCATTCTGGCCAGAGAAGAAGCATCATCACCAGTTTAACCTCACCAGTGATGTAGAAATAGGAGTAAACTGATGGGAGGACGTGGAAGCCGGCAACAAGGGAAAAAGGAAGGAATGGGGCAACTGGGAGCCAGGAGAGTCAGGTAGATCAGCCAAGCCAAGTGAAAAGACACTCGGCTTTGCCAGAATGAGCTGGACAAGCTGGCACAGAGGACAGAAGACTAAGAGAGAACTTCCCATAACTAGTTAGCTTCTAGGGTAAATGCTGGTCGGTCATGGTTTCATATTTTTAATAGAATTTCAGTCTATCATATATACCCAACGACTCAAATCCCTCCATTTTCCCAATGAGAAAATGCAGAACATGTTTTTTACTCACTTTGAAATCAAAGCATTTAAGGATTTGAATAAAACTGACAGGTATCTATTGGTAATCTTTAATTTGGCTACATTTATTAACAATTATACCTTATTTAAAATCTACTATTTTTCATTTTCACATTCCAAGCAACTTATTCAAACTCTTCACACACATTTAAGACCACAGTATCCATCACAAGGCCATTCTCTGGGATACACAATACTTTCCCAGTTCTCATCATCTCCACTTCCATTTCAGTGGCCTGAGATACAGAACTTTCTGAATATATGTATGAGGCTGCTGCTGGCTATCTTACTGGAACTTAACTTGTGTGAATCTACTTGGAGTTATACATTCTCTCCCTGAAATTAGACCTGAAAATTAGGACTCTTCTTTAATAGCACATCACAGAATAAGTAAATTTGGTTCCTTAAGAAACACAGTATGTGAAGGTGTAAAAATCCATCAAAAATATGAAATCACTAATAAGGACTGGGGGGCAGAGCTCCCAGATCACTACCAAGAATCTTTAAGGAGAACAAAGAGAAGACTGAAAGGTGGAGTCAGGACTAGTTCCCAGAGAACTATGAAATACATAGTTTTGTCCTATTTAAAAAATTCTGATTTTCAAGAAACCTGTATTTATTAACAACAATAGTATTCTAAACCCATTATGATACCCTCTTTTGTTTTTTTAAATTGTGATAAAATCTTAAATTTGTAGTTTTAACTAAGGCAAATATAAATGTGGACATGTTGAAAAATTGTATCAATTTTTGACAAAAATCAAATCACATTAGGAGACAGAACACTAACCTTTAAGACACAGTATTTATTATAAATGTGAAAGAAAAACAGTGGCATTGTGCCAATAACACAATTATATGGTCAGAGGGAGATAATGAAAGGAATCTGGTCCAATTTGCTATTTCAGGCAACTAACATTTTGAAAAGGTAGTAATGCAAAGAAGTACATGAAAAGAAGAAAAATGCAAAGGAAGAAGAGCAAAGAAGAAAAGACAACAAAAAGCCTAAGAAAAAATACTGAAAAAAGTACAGCATTCTTTAAAATCCACAGCTGTTCACACCCAGAATGTCTTACTGAAGCCCAGAATGTTGATGAACATCTATTTTCTCCTGCAATACACTTAGGGTATGTTTTGTATTGGAAAGCTCAATTAAAAACTTCTATTTGTTCTAGGTCCAACAATGTGAGCATTTTCCAAACCCTGTGAGATAGTTAAACCACCTCCTTATAAGTACCACTCCTGTAAACCAACGGAAACAGTCCCACAGAACAAAAGCTACTGCATCTGTGATTAGATAGGACGAAAGTCCTTCTCCTCTACAATAAAATGGTTCTAAACTGTTCCTTATTTTTCTATCCTCTAGGGACAATGATGGGCTGAAAATGTCCTAACCCTGTTTATAGCGGTTCTCATATCTGCTTCTCAGTCCTAAGATCAGCATTTAGGTTTTGTAAATGCTGTACAAATGTTAATTTATGTGTGTTAGAATTACTTTCAGATTTATCTGGTAGAACTACTTCTATAGTAAAGGCAGCATAATAAATATGACACACTAACGGAACTTCGCAGTATGTTTTAAAGTGCTGTTTTCTTACCATATTGTACCAGGCACTAACAATACACTTCTCCTCCATCTCTCTTTGACTCTTCGTTTTCTCATATTCTTTCTAAAACACAAGCACATATAAACAAGTAAAGACAAAAACCAATTCAATATCAGTAAAATACTCGCAATTAACTGTCTAAATTCATGGAATGTATTTCTTTCTAGAAAACAATAAAAAACCAGTGTCATCCCTGATTGTTTATAGTTCATAATGCGTGATCAAAACCGAAAGTTTCTGTGATGACTGCCCTTGTACTGTTCACCATGTAAGAACTTATTCACTATGTAAGAATTTGTTCACCATGTAAGAACTTGTTCGTTATGCTTCAGAAGATTGGAGACTGATGAGAATTAGGCTTGAGATGGATTAATGATTGTGCATTGAGCACTGACCCCCCTATACAGAATTTTATAGTTGTTAACAACCATTTGATGAATAAATATGAGAGATGTCCTCTCAAAAAAATAAAAAAAAATAACCAGTGTCATTATACAGGAAAGTGAACTACCTCTAATGAATGGAACAGTCGGTCCCGTTCCTGGAGCTGATTTTTAAGAGCCTGTATTTCTGGTGCGGCTCCTTGATTCTGTTTAGGATCTAAAGTGCGGATAACCTGAAAAAACAATAAAATAAAAAATTTAAAAGCCTCAAACTTAAAGAATATAACATCTAAGGCAGCAGTTATTAAAAAAAAAAAAATCAAAGGATAAGCCTTACAAGAATCAAAACTATCTTATAGGGACATTTTAAAATTTAAATGTGTGAAAAAATACTGAATTATTGTAACTTTGCATAAAACTTTTTGAAAATCATGTATAAGAATCAATTGTCAAAGTAGCTCTGGCTTAAAATTAATAAGTAATACTAAAGCTGGCATGACTGACAGCTTCCTCCCTTTCCCTGTCCTCTGGCTTGGGTCAGCGAGCTCTCTGCCTCTGGCCAGCTGTCGCTCCAGGAGCACAGCTGGTTTCAAGGCCTATGTGTGCGGCCCATCTCACCCTCTCCCACCGGCTCAGTCAGGCGTGGGCATGTGATGTATTTCTAGTGGCCAACTAGAGGTCTTCTGAGAAAGGGTTTTTGTTTTTAGGCCTGTAACTTGTCCTGTCAAAAACAATCAAACCTATAGAAAGCTTGAAAGACAAGCAGTGACTCTAGAGCATCTCACTATGCTGACGCACAGTGACTGTAATGGGGTATGTGGTGGGGACTTGATAATGGGGGGAATCTAGCATATACAATGCTGCTCATGTGATTGTATATCAATGATACCTTAATAAAAAAAAAAAAGAAAGCTTGAAAGAGCAGAACAGTAAAAAGCCATTTCCTTTCACTCCAGATTCACCAATTGCTGCACTGCCACATGTGAATGCTGTCCACACACACGCACTTGCTTCTTTGGCAAACTATTTTAAACAAAATGCAGAACTTATAAACATGTGACCTTCAAATACTTCAATATACATCTCCTAGACTAAGGGCATTCTCCTATATAATCACAATATCGCTATCATGTGTAAGAAAACAGGCCATTCTAAAATCATCACTATTCAGTCCAAATCCACATCTCGAAAATGTCTTTCATAACTGCCCCTTCTACCCCCAATCCAGGACCCAAAGATTAATATACTGCATTTGGTTCTTAGGTCCCTTCAGACTCTTTTAAACTCGAACAGCTTCTTGGGCTCCCCCACATTCCAATGCCTATTTTTGTTTTTTTCTAACAGTGACTTTTATACCAAATTCTGGATTTATCTGATCATTTCTTGAAGGTGTTTTTTAACTTTGTTCCAGTAACCTCATTTTCTGTGGGAACTGAAAGTTAGGTCTAAAAGATTTATTGATAATATATTCCATCAGAAGGCACAAGATGTTGGCTGTTCTACCATTGCTGTAGCTAATTTTGATTATTAGTTAAGGTGCTGACAGCCACTTCTTTCCTACATAAAAAACATTTTCCTCTTGGTAATTCATCTGGTAATTAGTGGTAATCTGTGGGGTGACCTATTTTGATCACCCATTTCCTGCTCGGGTTCTTTGCCTAAAGTTTTCTTTTCCCCTTTTCCTAAAAGCAGTCTGTGTAAGAAGTCACTGCACATGCACTCTATTTTGAGATGTCAGTGAAACACGATCAGAAAGTGGACAAAATGCCCAAATGTAACTCACACTTTTGGCTTTCTCTAAGTATTTTTTATATCGTTCTTCCATTTGCTTCATTTCCTCTTCTTTCTTCCTTAAAGCTTCCTGTAATTCTTCAATTTTTAAGGCTACAGATGAGATAGTGAAAAAAAATTTTGTTTTAGATTGTTATCAACTTTGAAAATATTTCAACTGCTAAAATAATAGTTAATAGCCTTGAGAGATGTCTGTTCTTCTATATAATTTTATTTTTAAAAAGTATATTTGTATATATGTTGAAAAAAAACTTTTCTTATATGTAAACAAAAACTCCAGTGTGGGTGTACACAAATTAAAAAGTATCCAGTGACAGATGAACAGATAAAACAAAATGTGGTATATGTATCGTTCAGCCTCAATTCTGAAATGTGCTACAATAGGAGACATCATACTACGTGAAAACGAAAGACTTTATGCAGGTGAAATAAGCTAGACATGGAAGGACAAATACTGTATGATTCCATTTGAGTTACTTAGAATAGTTCAATTCACAGAGAAAGAAAGTAGCATAGTGGTTACCACAGGCTTGGGGGGACAGGAGAAAATGGGGAGGTTCAATTTGGGAAAAGGAGAAGCTCTGGAGGTGGCTGGTGGTGGTACAGCAGTGTGAACGTGCTCACTGTCACAGAACTGCACACTAACATGTGGCTGAAGTGGTCATTTTATGGTATGGGTATTTTACTACAATAAAAAAAAGTACAAGCCAGGTCCTACTCCTACCTCTACACAGGAGTCAGTGAAGTCAAGCTGCCTACATGTGTAAATATCAACAAAGGTTAAAAGGTTCACTGACTCACATGCAGCAATTAAAGTAATTTTGTAAAATAAGCATTAGCATCTACAGGTAAGGAAACATTCAGAACTATAATTAAAACTACCATAAAGATGATTATACATTCTTTCTGAAAAATAAGGCAAATTCTTTAATTTTTACAATATGTAATAGGGCCTATTTCTAAAAGAAACAATTTTATGCAAACTATCACTGGAGTAATACATGGCTAACCCATTTTAAATTATGCTAATTAGGAAAACTCACAGCTATTATTAAATCTTGGTTCAAGATCTTCAATAATAGCTCTCTTCTTCTGCAATTCATTATTGGCTTCATGAAGCTTCTCTCTATAACAACATATATAACACTGTGTTACATACTATTTTTTCTACTTGAAAGATCTAAGTTCACTATTTTTGGAATACACTTGCATAGCACACAAGTGCTATGAAACAAACATGAAAAGACTAATCCAACATGAATTTAATATATTTCTAAAATAAGTAAAAAACAGAGACAAAAATCTCAGTTTGAAACAGTCATTTCTCTTAGATAAACATGCACAACAGGGTACAAGGAATTTCATATGATCTTTTTTTTTTTCTAGGAAGAGGATATTGTAAAAATTAAATTTAAAACTTTGCAGCAGTTTAACAATGCAAACTCTTACTGCAAAGAGAATGAAGTTCTAAAAATAAGAATTAATAGGAAGAACACTACACACCAATAAAAAGTATAAACTAAGGATACATGCACCCACATGGATTCGCACCATAATGTTGAATGATGGAAATCAGACACAAAAGGGAAATACTGCATGCTTCCTTTTCTATGAGGTTCAGGAAGTCTGAAAACTAATGAAAGGTGTTATGGGATCAGCATTGTGGCTTGCTTGGGGATGTAATCAGTCATTTAGAAGGGGGAACAAAGAATCCTTCCTGGTGGGTTGCTGGAAATAATATGTTGATGTGGGTTACCTGTGTATGCAGGAAAGCATTCATCAAGCTGTACACCTAGGGACTTTGGATTTGAGTACTTTACTGTATGTTAGTTATATTCTAATACAAAATTTTTTAAAAAAGCATGAACAGCAAGTTTTTCCTGGTATTTGTATAGTACATATAATTCCCTATAGTATTTACTAAGACACTGTAATCTGAGAGCTGGATAAAAGGCTGCAAAAACTGGGAAATACAGAAAAAACTAAAAGGAAAACAGAGAACTTAAGTCTATTCCTATCTGGTCTTTACTATGCATAATACTTTAATAAATTTCTTTCTAGTTTGACAAATTCTTTTTTTGAGGGTGTAACAAATATATACATAGATACACAAAAAATATATAGACTTCAAAGAGTAAGAAAAACTAAGTCAGTGAATAAGGTTATAAAACAGAAATTATCTTAGGACCTCAGAAGCCTGTGAGTCTTTATCCTCTTTGCAGAGTTAACAAAATCCAGAATTTTAACAATTCTTATGATTTTTGTGACAGGCCTTTGTGTGTATTGCTAATATGAGTGAAATCATTTGGAACTCGTCTTTCTCCGCCTGGCTTATTTCACTGAGCATAATACCGTCTAGCTCCATTCATGTTGTTGCAAATGGTAGGATTTGTTTTCTTCTTATGGCTGAATAATATTCCATTGTGTATATGTACATCTTCTTTATCCATTCAGTGTATCATTAATAATACATTGCTTAATTTGCCCAATTTTTATTTATACACTATTCTGCCTTGTTCTGTGACTCATTCATCTTTCCTGATGTGTTAATTGTATACATTTTTATTGCTGGATAATGTTTTATTGTTTGATATACCTCTACTATCCATCATTTTATAACTGGTGGTATTTGTATTGTTTCTACTTTTCTGTGATAATAAACCATGTTCATTTGTACTTTCTCTTATGTGTCTCCTGGTTCACATGGAGAACACCACCTCTAGGAATCCAGTGTATACACAGGGGAGTGGAGCTGATGGTTCACAGAATATGTGCGTGTTCACATTACTAACTAAACTGAGGTATATGCCAACCAGCAATGGATGAGAATTACTACTGCTCAACATCTTGGACAATACTTAGCATGTCTTCTTAAATTTTACCAATTTAGTGTGTATAAAAGTTCTCCATTGTAATTTTACATTTGCATGAGAATGCATCTTTTGAGATGTCTATGAACTCAGTTATAGGATAAATTGTCTTCTCCAAAAATATATGGTAGATTTAGAGGAGCAAAGATGGCGGCATGAGTAGGAAAAGAGAAATCTCCCAAAAACATATATATATATATTTTTTCCTTTTTTTATTCTGCATCCTTTATTAAATACTTATTTTTATATATGCATGTATAGACTAAGTACTCATTTCAGAATTCTGCTTTACATGTTTTTTTTTGGTATCATTAATCTACAATTACAGAAAGAACATTAAGTTTACTAGGTTCCCCCCTTCACCAAGTACCCCCCACATACCCCTTCACAGTCACTGTCCATCTGTGTAGTAAGATGCTGTAAAATCACTACTTGTCCTCTCTGTTGCACAGCCCTCCCCGTTTTTTTTCTCCCACCCTTATCCCTCCCTTCCCACCCATGGTCCCCAGTCCTCTTTCTTTTTCCCCACCCTTATCCCTCCCTTCCCACCCATGGTCCCCAGTCCTTTTCCCTTTGGTAACTATTAGTCCATTCTTGGGTTCTGTGATTCTGCTGCTGCAAAAACATATATTTTTGAAAATACAACAAATACAACTATTCCTAAAAGAGAGACCAGAAGATACAGGACAACAGTCAGGCTACATCTACACCTGAGAGAACCCAGCGCCTCACGAAGGGGGTAAGATACAAGCCACGGCCCGGCAGGACACAAGCGCCCCTCACCAGAGCTCCCCGGCGGGAGGACAGGAGTCAGAGCAGGAAGGGAGTGGGAGCCGAGGCCTGCTAAACACCCAGCCCTAGCCATCCGCACTGGAGCGCAGACACACAGTGCATGGGGTGCTGGGTACTAGGGTAACGGGACAGTAAACCCTGTGAGTAGGTCCCTGCAGCTGGCGCCCCTGGGACAGAAGAAAAGTGAGTGCTTTTTGAAAGTCTTAAAGGGACAGGGACCCCACAGCTGGATGGAAACGCCCCGGCGCAATCAACCCAGTAACTGGGAATCCCAGGGAACTCCTGGCGCCCTAACACCTTGGCTGGCAGTGCAGCTCGGAGGCCCCTCACGGCAATAAACAGCCTCCTGCCCATTCCCCCACTGGCACGGCCCCACTAGAGCGGAGCAGCAGCCTGAGACTGGCCACGCCCACAGCAACCTCAGGAAGCTTACTCCACAGCAGGCGGGCAAGAATCAGAGACCCCGTCTGTGTGCAACTGCCTAGCACAAGCCATTAGGGGTCGCCATTCTCCCAGGGACTTGGTTCTCCCAGCCGACACATGCGCCAACTGCCTATGACTACCTCTATCACCATGAAAAGGCAGAAGAATTTGATCCAGACCAAACTAACCCAGACATCCACCCCTGAGAAGGAATCTGGGGAGACAGATTAAACCAATCTTCCTGAAAAAGAATTCAAAATAAAGGTCATAACCATGCTGATGGACTTGCAGAGAAATATGCAAGAGCTCTAAGGAGAGAGCGTACAAAAATAAAACAATCTCTTGAAGGACTTAAAAGCAGAATGGATGAGATGCAAGAGGCCATTAATGGAATAGAAATCAGAGCACAGGAACACAGAGAAGCTGACACAGAGAGAGACAAAAGGATCTCCAGGAATGAAAGAATATTAAGAGAACTGTGTGACCAATCCAATCCAAATGGAACAATATCCACATTATAGGGGTACCAGAAGAAGGAGAGAGAAAAAAAGGGATAGAAAGTGTCTTTGAAGAAATAATTGCTGAGAACTTCCCCAAACTGGGGGAAGAAATAGTTTCTCAGACCACGAAAGCACACACAATTCCCAACACAAGGGAACCAAGGAGGACAACACCAAGACACATAATAAGTAAAATGGCAAAGATCAAAGACAAGAACAGAGTATTAAAGGCAGCTAGAGAGAGGAAAAAGGTCACCTACAAAGGAAAACCCATCAGGTTATCATCAGACTTCTCAACAGAAACCTTACCGTCCAGAAGAGAATGACATGATATATTTAATGCAATGAAACAGAAGGGCCTTGAACCAAGGATACTGTATCCAGTATGATTATCATTTAAATACAAAAGAGGGATTAAACAATTCCCAGACAAGCAAAAGTTGAGGGAATTTGCCTCCCACAAACCACCTCTACACAGTATTTTAGAGGGATTGCACTAGATGGAAGCACTCCTAAGGCTAAACAGATGTGACCAGAGAAAATAAAATCACAGCAAAGAAAGTGGAACAATCAAACACTAACTAAAGGCAAAAAATAAAATTAACTACCCACAAAAGCAGTAAAAGGAAACACAAAAGAGCACAAAATAAAACACCTAACATACAAAGAATGGAGGAGGAGGAATAAGAAGGGAGAGAAATAAAGAATCATCAGACTGTGTTTACAATAGCTCAATAATCAATGGATCAACGACCAAATCAAAATAGAGATCAAGCAATATATGGAAACAAATGACAACAACAACACAAAGCCCCAACTTCTGTGTGACGCAGTGAAAGCAGTCTTAAGAGGAAAGTATATAGCAATCCAGTCATATTTAAAGAAGGAAGAACAATTCCAAATGAATAGTCTAAAGACACAATTATCAAAATTGGAAAAAGAAGAACAAATGAGGCCTAAAGTCAGCAGAAGGAGGGACATAATAGATAAGCCCCTAGCCAGACTTGTAAAAAGAAAGAGAATCTACACACATCAATAGAATCAGAAATGAGAAAGGAAAAATCATGATGTACCCCACAGAAATACTCCAGAGAATTATTAGAGAATACTACAAAAAAACTGTATGCTAACAAGCTGGAAAACCTAGAAGAAATGGACAACTTCCTAGAAAAATACAACCTTTCAAGACAGACCAAGGATGAAACAGAAAACCTAAACAGACCAATTACCAGCAAATAAATTGAAGCGGTAATCAAAAAACTACCCAAGAGCAAAACTGCCAGGCCAGATGGAATCACCTCGGAATTTTATCAGAAATACAGAGAAGACATAATAGCAATTCTCCTTAAAGTTTTCCGAAAATAGAAGAGGGAATACTTCCAGACTCATTCTATGAAACCAACATCACCCTAATACCAAAACCGGCAAAGAAACCACAAAAAAAGAAAATTACAGACCAATATCCTTGATGAACGTAGATGCAAAAATACACAACAAAATATTAGCAAACCGAATTCAAAAATACATCAAGAGGATCATGCACCATGATCAACTGGGATTCATCCCAGGGATGCAAGGATGGTATAACATTCAAAAATCCATCAACATCATCCACCACATCAACAAAAAGAAAGACAAAAACCACATGATCATCTCCATAGATGCTGAAAAAGCATTTGACAAAATTCAACATCCATTCATGATAAAAACTCTCAGCAAAATGGGAATAGAGGGCAAGTACCTCAACATAATAAAGGCCATATATGATAAACCCACAGCCAGCATTATACTGAACAGCGAGAAGCTGAAAGCATTTCCTCTGAGATCGGGAACCAGACAGGGATGCCCACTCTCCCCACTGTTATTTAACATAGTACTGGAGGTCCTAGCCACGGCAATCAGACAAAACAAAGAAATACAAGGAATCCAGATTGGTAAAGAAGAAGTTAAACTGTCACTATTTGCAGATGA